GTCTGATTTCTTTTTAAAAAATGCGTTTCTAAAGTGCATAAACTTTTGGGATTGACTGTATAGCCAATACATCCTTAATCAGTGCGATGATTATCGTCTACAAATAACGAATGTTTTCTTTGCCAACAGAGGAGTATTCAGACCACCCGAACGAAGTGGTGAAGAACGAAGAACTGACCTACAACGGGGCGAGTTCCAGCCGTATTCAAAATCAGTTCAGCCACTTGGTGGTCGTGCTCACCGGAAGCTTGTTGGTCAGCGCGATCCTACCGCACTTATTACGGTGAAGCGACAACGCCACCGACGAGAACGTATACCCCAATACGTCAAAACCCCTTTTTCTGTGATTATCCTACGTTTAATTAATTTCTTGAGGCACGCGTGTGCTCGCGCGGCCGCCCCTCGATCGTGAGACAAACGTAATACGCGCACGATTTATGGTCGGACTGCCTCGAGAGAGAAAGAGAACGAGAAAATTTCTAATCGGGAACGAGGAAGAGAGATGAACCAGGAACAACAATGAAAACGATATATTTGAGGCAAACCAGGGATGACGGTAATGAAGAAGAAGAGTTGGCAAAAGATGCAATGTCAAGAGAAGAGACACGCACGACACACGAGTAACAACGCCATATATTGAAACTAATTCGAAAATCGAAGGAAGACGTAGGTAGTAAGATTACAATGACGAAGAAAGACGTAAACAAGGAGAAAACGCTACTACTAGGCACTATTATAGTATGCCCACTATTATCACTACTATAAATGGTAGTCGTATTGGTTGTCCTTCTTATCATTACGCTAATTCTAGGTATTTATTCGAAATACGAGAGAAAAGTCGCGAACAGCGTGCTAACTACCCTCGAGCGTGATATACGCGTAAACGTACGTCGGTCAAAGACTCTTTCTTTTAGGAACGCCAAGTTCCCGTCCGAAGATTTCAGTTATATCGTTCGACCGATTGCGTTCATTGACGAACAGTCCTCTGTCACGGTCCTTTGTTAATATTATAGTTACGTTAAGGAATGAGCATGCGAAGTTGAAAATGATTTCGAGAATCGATTATGTTTGGAACGAGTTGCGCGGTTTAAGTGAACTTGCCATTTTAATTAATCTATTATTACTTGCCACTCCTTCTTCATAACATTCTCAGTTTCAGTTGACGAAGACATTTTTTGTTTGTCGAACGCGGTCACGACGATCAGATCGAATCGCGGTCGTGTAATGATTTTAATCGTGTCGAAACGTAACGGAGGACAGTGTCATCGCGTGAAACCGTTCGACACGCGTCGGGATCGCGAACAGGATAATTAGCACGCGTGTAAATAAATTCCTAATGAATATGTACAAGTGGCTCTCGCCTCGTGTCCGAGGTGAGGAGATTTAAGAGAGTGCCGTATAATAGGTAAAATCTATATGACACACGAAAGAGTGCGATATACAGCGTGAGTGAAGACGACGCTAAAGTGTGACGCGCGTGCATGTTGTCGCGAGCCGAGGATCGCCCCTATTGGGATTAAGTCGGTTGACGCAGAAAATCGTGTGAGGTGCTACGGACTTCTCTAAGTTCCGGCTGCGCTTCCCGCGACCCGCGACAACTTTCGCGAGCACGCGAAGAAAAGTGTAAGTTCGTCGACCGAAGAAATTGCTCGTTTCGCTCTGTCCTCGAAAATTGGGCGAGGAGCGTGCGGGTGAACGAAAGTATGGTATGTGATGAGCGAAAGAGAGAGACTGAATCGCGGATGCGAGAAATGAGAAATGAATTTTTGTATCATAGTTGTATCATACCGAACTCTATCTATAGATCTGTATTATATTTATTATCCGCTATCATTACGCTACGAATAATCACACTCGATATTCTATATTTACTAGTAAAAAAATATCAAATTTAATAGCGAATAAATTGCGTATTTGGCGGGGTAATCTAAACAAGAACGATACGAAGCGAGCGAAACGATGAAATTACCCCTGTCGTCATCGGATCCGCCGTTTGTTGTTTTCTTCTTTTTACCTTGTTTCTTTCTCTTTCAAACTTTTCCTCGTGTCATGTAGCTCAAAACGTGCTCACGAAAACCTAATTCACCGCGCGATCGTCTTTCGTTACTACTCACCGTTCACTTCAGTTCTCCCCACACTTGTTTTCTATTTATTGTACGTACACCGCCACGCATACTTCGTTTTCCGTAACGCGTAAAGACGGGTCGCGTTTATTTGTAAAAACGAGGAAAAACAGACAGGATTACATATATACATGCTCGGTGGTCGCGATCGTTAAACGCGAATTCCGCTCTGATTTGTCGCGTACGTCTATAACAGCAATCCTTCTTCGCAAGCGTTTGAACTTCGTTCACGTTACCACGGATTTCATTGCGCGTGCCGAGATTTCGCTCGATCACAAACACGAATCCATATCCTACGACCAACCGTACCGCCACTGCCATAGCCAAATGCCGGAATTCAAGCATATATCTCGAATTTAATCGCGCCGCAATGGATTGTAGCGCGCGCATCTCGCGCGCTGAAAGTGACGAGCTTTAAATCGCGTTCCCGCCAACGCGGCAAATAAAGCGCATCGTTATTTCATCACGGATCTACGCAGCTGTCACCCGCACGCCTGTTTGCTGGGACGCAAAATTATACCGGTATCACGTGCACGTTTTTACGCGTGGACGCATTTCGTTCGACGATCGATCGATCATATCCGATGATATCGTATCCGCCCGCACCTGCGACGCGTTACGAAAATCAAAACGCGAACGCAATCACACGCGAGTGGCTCTCGTGAACGAAGTTTAATTGGAGCACAGTGGCAGATGAGCGTTCGAGGGCGCAAAAGGAAGAAACAACAACGAGCGAACGATCGAATTTCGCGTTCATGTCCACGTGGAAAGAGCTCGATCTAACGGCGACTAGAATTAATGAATTATTGTAAATACGAATATGCGGAAAGAATTTAGGTATCGCGTAAAAAGCGAGAGAGTGTGTGAGAGAGAGAGAGAGAGAGAGAGAGAAGAGACCCCGATTCCGAATCGTAGATAATAAAGCAGAAGAAGGAGCGTATTCTGAAAGGCTGCTGGATTGACTGACTCGTTTTCATCGTTCATCGATGATTGTCCTTGACTGTAACGCGACAACCGAGTGAAAATCGATGACCACGATCAGCCCGAAATATTGAGGGAATAACAGCGGGAGGTAAGAAAATAAAATTGCGTGTATAATGTTATCCGTTACAGTATTGTAAGCCTAAGTATTACATGCCTCCGATCCACGTCTGTTTGTCTGTCTGTCCGTTCGTCTGTCTACAGTTTGTACTTTTTACCCATGTGTTAACCGCAATAGCAATTTCGTACACGTACGAGCGATCGATGACCAAGATAAAAGCAGTTCGCTACGATACCCGTGTCCACGATTCCTTAGCGTATACGTAGATTCACAGAATAATTTTCGTTCCGTCATTATTATACATAGCTGCACACTAAGCAGGCGTCTCTTTTAGTTTCTCTCTAGTCGTTTTCGTTCATACACTCATACACACGCAGTACGTACACGTGGAATTGTTTGAGAGCCGCTGATCAACCCGCAAATCGAAACCCAAAGACAATCACCTGTGCAGCGTTGTAAAAAAGAAAAGGAAGAGAAAGCGTTCTATGCGTAGAGATCAGACCATTTATAATAGCCTTCAAGATATCCTTTTAGACGTGTGGTTCGTTGACCCTTTCCCTCACAGAGGTAGAAATAATGAACACGCGATTGTACAAAATGTTTCTCGTACAAGTTCGCTTTGCGGGTCTCAGAGGATATCACGTACAGTAAATAATATACGTTCGTAAGCGGACGGAGATTGTACAGAGTGCGTTTATGTTTCTAGATCGGCTCATCGGTCGCGATCGACGATGATCCATGCGACAGGTTGCATACACGCGCGAATCGTGGATGTATCGATAGGACTGCTTACCAGCGGCGAATTATTATCGGTCGACTCGATAGCGAATTTTTGATCAGAGCCAGCGATACGATGCCCGTAATCAATTAAACATAAATGCAATAGCAATGCAGCAAAGTTACATAGATCCATTGTGAATGGTACTCATTCTTACGGACGATAGGTTGAATACAGTATAACAATAATATAGACTCGAACTATCGATAGAAAATAGACAAGGTCACTCACTGCAACTTTATTTTTATTTTCCATTCCTCCATTCGTTTTTTTTTATTTTTTATTTCTCTCCGTTTTATTTCCATTTCGTTTTTCGTTTCGATCGGTCCGCCCCGAAAACGTCACCACCAATTTTTCCATCCCTTCGATCCAGTCCGCCTCGTCCCGTCGCCAGCGACCACGTGAAACGCTGCTCCTCGACAATTATTTTTGTAACCGCGAACAGGGACAACCGTTATACCGTAAAGTAATTTAAATCGTTATTAGAAACTATATGTAGATAATCGATATAATAGAAAGTTAACGAGATCGATGTAACAGAGACGCAGAAGATAATCGTAAGACGTTGAACCTTAAGGGATACGATTAATTGAATCGCGCGTTGATATTAGCCTTCGTTGTTAATCGTGTGTACACGCACGTAACAGATGCAGGCATAGATGTACGCAAGTAATCGACACTACACGTTGCTGCTCGCACGTTTCCAAATGCACGAGCAACAAAACGAGGAACAGCTTTCACGTCCGTTTTTTGATCCAAAGAAGTCCGAAGTCCCGATTCACTGCGATTTTCACCGTTCGTTTTCGCTATTTCATTGTGTTATCCTCTCGTGTGCGTGTTTAGGAACAAGAATATTAGACGATCTTCGATGGTATAGAAGGTCCGAGCACGCGACTCCTCGTTGCTTAACGAGAACGACTTGTTCCTCTCTTCTCGAGACGGAGGGTAAAGGAAACGAGACGTGAGAAAAAAAATAATGCGAGGTAACGAGAAAGGAAAACGAGTAATTAGGATTCGCCGCGTCGAACCAACACCGCCGCGGATTTATCGAGCGTAAAGTAATGGGATCGAGATGATTTCGTAGGTACGTCGTTGTAAATAGAGAGACGAAGCAGAAGAAGACGATGATCATGAAAAAGATAATGATTACGATCAATAACGATAACACGATGAAATTTATATTAAATACATAGCAAGTATGAGGATAGGTTTCTAATAACGATTTATTATAAAAGTGAATGTACGTTGATGTCTAAGATTTTTAACAAGATGGAAAAAGATAAGAAAAAAACACAAAGTGGTTATTATTAAACTATGATTATTAACTTATAACTGAGGAAACACAAGTACTAATTAAACAAGAGAGCGTTTGAATACAGAACCACACTTTTTAGCCAGGTCATGAATTCTCTCACACGTTGCATATTATTAATTTTTGTAACAGGTACAATTACATGACACATAACGGTCCCGGCCACGGAAGTCACACGACGACCACCGCGTTTTGTCACCGGCCGATTGTTAGATCATTTCTTTTCTCCTTAATGGACACGCGATGCACTTGCATAGAATTAGCGTAACGCGTATTGAATAACAGCCGCGATATCACATTTACAATAGGGAGAAGAAACATTTCGTAACGTCATCAGGTTTATTCGGAGAAAGGAACTATCGACGGCTTATTTAGACAGCTGTCTGACAATCAATTAATCTGCTTTCCAGTTAAAGATTATTTTTCGCTTTCTCGCTGCGCGATTTTCAGAACTATACAAAGAGATTGACGAGAGGGAATCGTGAGAGAATAATGCGGTGTCCAGGTGTGACATTCGTGAACGGGATCAATTATAGATTTGCGTGTGCTCACCAAGTATGCACGTTCAGTACAGTCGTTCATTACAAAGCATTACAGATTACAATACAAAGTAGCGTAGTGTTCATAATGGTAGTCCACTTGTAGCGAAATAGTGTTAAAAACTGTCCAAGCAGACAAAACAAAAAAAAACTGGAAAAAAAGACGTAATGGTCAAAAAAATTACAGGTAACCATAAAAAAAGGTACACAGTAAACGTGAATCGAATTTCATGAAGGTGCAAGACACGCACACTCACACGTCCGCATACACATATACAAACAGACACCTATTTACACTCGTATATTTGGCACGTATTGTGAACAGGGTGTCGCGAGAACGGCGACGCCACTTCAAAAGAATAAAAAAAATATATATTTAAATGTACACTCATGTACATACAGAGACATGGTATACACGTACAGACACACACACACACATATGTAAAAGCGACGCGATTTCGATGGCCACGCGATGAAGAAACGCGCACTTGCGCGAGTTCGCTCGCAGAAGCGGAGGAAAGAAGAGAAACGGAATGACGAGAGGGTCGACGACGCTCTGTACGTAGACTCGTCGGCGTCGCGCGATTTATTGTAGCTATATTGTATTATGTATGTCGATATACTGTCAAATATATCGATGGAAAACGAAAGTAAAACAAAACGAAACAAAACGGAGAAAAAAAAGATGAGAAATTTAAAATAGAAGATGTTAAAATGCCGGACAGGGAGACCGGGCGTCCCCCGTTAAAATAATATCTAATTAATACACGTACCTACTCACATAACACAAAATACAGAGTACGTCGACGCGTTTCATTTTGAAAGTACCTTGCGCGAGTCGTCTCGAATCGTTTAAGTACAAAATACGTGGAAGAAGAATGAAATGGCTTTCTCGATGGACAAGATATGATGCGCGTGGTCCGCGCGGTTCAGATACCAGGGTATCCGGGCTACTAGTTCGCGGATGATCGGTAGAAGAAATCAGAGAATTTCCTTTTTTGCGTTCTGAGGTCATCGACGATGAACAGCATCGCGTGGGTTGTACGAACCGAGGGATTCGCGGTGCCGAATGGTAAATTTGAGGAAATCGCGTGTCACGCCTATTTCGTTGAACCCCTCGACAGGCATTAATGAGTTCCTGGAATCAAATTGGTTGTAAAACAGAATTATACGTATTTAAACGCGTGCCTGTTCGACCCGGAAGGTTGTAAAATGCGTCGCGAGTCCCCTTCGGTCCGTTCTTTCGGTAAACGTTTCTAGCTTTTGAACGGGGTGAAAACTGTTCGCGATGATTTATGAAAACGCAGATACTGATATACGCTTTGTTGCGATGATTTCTCGAATTTTATTGATAGCGGATGAGATCCAACTAGTAATCGATAGGTTGAATTACGTTTTTTCTTATCGGAGCTCAAATCTTTTGCCACGGAATCCCGTGCGCTGTTTTTTATACACTTTGATCGATTCGAAAGATTCCGGACTTGGAACAGAGAGTAAAATGAAATTTCAAACGCACATAATATACATACAAACACGACGGCTCTTCTTGCGTCGCGTGAAACGTAATTAAACGAAAATCTGCCATTTTTTAATTGATAATCGCCGTCGATACTCACGGATAAGATTGACATTTGTCGTAGACATAATTTATTCGTTGTCCTACCCTGCTAATCGAATGCGAAAGGAAATAAAACTGAGAGAAGAGATTATAGTATGGAGGGATGTGAGTTCGCAGTAAAAGCGGATGTCCGGTTCGAACGCATTCTTGAATTTCACGAGTCTTTCGGTACTGACCATAATATACAAATCGCTCCAATTCGTTCCACGTTCCATCGAAGTTGATTCACCGTCTCACGAAGCGTGAGCGCGCTACATTCACGAGCAGTACATCTTAAAAAGCACATAATATTCATGAATCATACCCAATGATTCATCCATCGAGATTATATATTATATAGAGAATATAATAATTCATTTTTCTAAATTTTCATCGTTTCAAGCATTCGTGAAATTAGTATGTTTCATAGGTACCTTTAATAATTCCTTGTTGTACGAACGTTCGTTATAAAAATATTTCAGTCTTCGTTCAAATTGTATAAAACATATCAACGATGCTTTTTATTGTAGTCAAACGTTTCATATAATTCTATGTATGAAAAATTAGATGTTTCTTATTACGGATGTCATGTGCTTTATGAGATCGAATGTACATAGCGTATACATAATAGGGAAAACCCGCGGCGGCGCGTAGTGTTTAAAATCTCGCGATTCGCGATGCCGCGTGAAAAGATGATTATGTTTTCAGGTACACTGCCGTGTCGCGAGCACGCGACCATGCCACTTGTTACAACTCGATTCAATCCGATTAATTAAGCCTCCATTGACTCGTCCAAGGCCTCTAGCCGTGTATACACCGCCACAGACAACGAATCTCTCGACTTGCCGTGCGACTCGCGGCTGACAATAGTTTCCGCGATCCCCTCGAACATAAAACTGTTTTTATGTGCAAAAACTGTCGCCAAGGTAGGACAGGACTTATAAAATGGAAAATCACTGGTGAGGAAAAGAAAAATGCGCTCGGACGAATCGTTTCCCCAATTGAATTCCGTAGCGTCTGTTCAAATGTTGTTTAGAGCTATTTATTACTTCTGAAAAATAAATAATACGGATGTGCATTGAAACGAAATACTTTTGCGGTGCAAAATTTCGCAAACAGCCTACGTTTGCAATGAAAACTCAGTTCCTCTGCGATGCGTTGAGATATTTGTACAATTTGGAGCCTAAATCGTTGTACGATTGTTTATATAGAACGAGTTTATATTATATAGAGCAATGCGAAAAAATGTTAAGTGTGCTTGCAAGTGTGCTGTATGATGATTTCCGGCGTTCACGATTATTCCTTTTGTCGGTCACGTTTAAAATAAGTCTTGTCTTACACGTTACTCGCACATGCATCATATGTACTTGGACCGCCAAAGAGATATAATGCGCACGTGTACGTATTTCTTCTCCAAGTGGCACTCCTCAGCGAAAACGCGACCATACTGTTTTCAGAAGTTAGAATTAAGTTCCGATGGGAGTCAGCTTTCTGGTGCCATTTTTGTGCCATCGCTTACCATTTTGCACAATCGAATAAGACGAATGTAAAATCTACTTTGCCAATTGGGTTCATTCGCGGTTTTAAGCAACGAGTCCGCTGATCGGTTTAAATGATCTGTTAAAAAATTATACGGACAAGAAGGAAACGAAAGAAATTAGGAGGGAATGTATATGTACATCGAATAAAAGTTGTATCTCACTTCGAAGCTAGTTTCGGGTCTCGATGAAACTCGAGACAGGCGAGGCGAATTTTTGGTAAAATGTAGTGAGGTATATATACTTCTCGTGAAAGTAGAGCCAATGGAGAAGAAACGAATGAAGCGGAAGGCATTGCCTCTTTAGTCATCCGCGTAAAAGCATGCTCGCGATCATAAGGTCCAAAGTAGATGAGCGGAGGAGAAGAGAATAAAGGAAGCGAGACGAAGTACGTGAAACGGTGGGAGAAAGCTTCATTGAAAGGCCTAGATTGTCGCACTCGTTTAAAGAAAAAAACTTCCCCGCAAGAATGCACACGAAAGGTAGCGTACACTCGCTGTACACTCGTTTATTGTCGCGGAATAAGTACGCGAATTAAGAGAGAAAAGAGAAAGCAGAAGTCGATTTGATTTGTATATGTACACGGTGAGCCCGAGGTTCGCGCGAGGACAGGTGCGTTTACGTGGGATCAAGGAAGAGATGCTCGTTTCTTCACTTGATCGCCGGCAGGCGCGAATCAATCGATGGCTGAACCGCTTCTTTCTCGTAAGCGCTAATGTCCCGCGACGATTAATTGTTATGAATACGAACGAACTCAAGACGGCATGGTATACAAGACTAAGAACAAGACCTAAAATGGGGACATAATATTTTATAACTCAACTTTTGTACAGAATAAATAAATACTTGTACTGTGGACCAATATTTCTTTTATTTCATTCGCATGTCTACGATTCAATTTCATGGTGTAGAGAACCATCAGAACGTCAGGAAATAATATATGGAAGGGGCACGAAGAATGAATTAAAATTATCGGCTATAAAATAGTAAACAATGATTTGTTTAATATACAATGAGATTATGTAAATTAAAAATACAAAATCATGTAATCATTTATCTTTCGTTTGGATTAATGGTATTACGACAATACTATTTTTTGCTTCTGGTATGCGCCACCATCTGCCAAGTCTGTGTTCTTGACCAACAGCGGCAATGAGCTCAGTTCCGTCTGGAGTGAACCACAACGCATTTATAAAACCTGTTAAGTGAATTTCGAACAGAGGATTCAAAGCCCTAAACGAGTCGCTGCACTGCCATAATCTGATAACGCCATTTCGCGATCCTTTAAACAATAATTATGACAAACATGTATTTAAGATAACAAACTCTTTATTATGAATGAATTTCGCATAATACCTGACGCAACCAAATCTGTATTGAGTAATGTAGCTATACTAGAAATCCACATTGGTTGATTATTGCTTTCATCTCTGCCGTGCGCGTCTGGCACAGAGCACAAAGGCCTTTTCTTTAAACAGCCCCAAATACACAATTGTCCATCGTCTCCGCAGCTCAAGAAGATCTCTTCATTTACAAGCTTTACGGCATCTATGCTACCACCATGTCCATTGAATATAAGTTGCGATTCCTCCACGATTTTCCATATCCGAACTGTCCTGTCAAAGCCACCGCTCGTGATCGCACGTTCTCGCGCGAGAGCATCGATCGATGTAACACCGCTTTGATGTCCGAATCTAATAAGAATATAGTATTAAAAGAAGACATCACGTTAAAGCAACAGCTGCAGAAGAAAAATACTTACAAGGATTCGACATACGCCATGTCATCTAAATTCCACACTTTGACACTTCTGTCTTCCGAAGCGGAATACAACGTATGCGTGTCCTTGCGGAAAACTAAACCTGTTACGCTACCTCTGTGACCTTGTAAATTCTTTATAAGTTTCAAAGTATCTCCGCAAAATACCTTAACATATTTACAACCACTATCTCCTGCTACCTTTAATAAAATGCAGCATATATTTATGTGTGCTTACGAGAAATCATGAGAACGATGATTTGTACACACTTACCAAAAATTTACCGTCAGTGCTAATCGCCACGCAATGTACACACTTCATTCCATCCTGTGATTTCGCTTTCCCTTTAACTGCTTTTAATTTAGTCCTCTCTTTTAAAGACCCTAACATAATACAGTTATTAATAGAATTGTACGAAGCTTCTGAAAACTCTCGGTTGAAAGTAACTTACATTTTACTAAGCTACCATCCTTTGAACCGGAGTACAAGAATTTTCCGTTACTAGAGAGACATAAACAAGTGATTGAACTTTTATGTTCTTTACATTTAAGAATGATCGGTTCACCATGATTCACATAATTTGCAGCAACGGTTTTCCTCAATCTCCCTTTCTCTTCTAAATATTCTTCATGTAATCGCTTCGCTACTGCTCCCTCTTCAAATTCTGCTCTGTCCTTCTCTACACTTATATAGTTTTTTATTATTACTGTCCCATTTTGTTAAAGTCATAAATAACAGTGTTGTGTCTTTTGAATTTTACCTTCTTCTTCAATTTGTTCGAGATATTTCTTTGCAAGTCTAATACGTTTCTCCTGTGCAGTTTCTTCTTCTTCCTCACTTTCATATTCATCTTGTCTGTAGTACAAAAATAATTAGTAACAGATATGTATATAATAATTAACTTCCAATAGAAAGGAACTTCTTAATGCATTGTTACTTTTGATTCTCTTCTGCAAGTTCTTCATCCGTACTGGCAATACTTTCATTATCATCAGGTACAGATTTAGGAATGATCTTCTTTTTCTTTCCCTTTGTTGCTTTAATATGACCATTGATCTAAAAATTAAGATGCCACTTATAAATATTTAATTATAAATATTTTTTCATTACAATAAAGGTATAAATATTTCATGCATCTTTGCTATTGGATACATGAAGTTATGTGCACATTTTATATACCTTTCTTTTAGCTCCAATTCCTCCTTGTTTATTCCTAATGAAGAATGACATATTTCCAAAATGTTTATTCAAAATCTGATTTTAACCTGCTTCCACTTTACCACATGGCACGGTCTTTATATCAACAAGCGCTGCCAACGGAACGGTTGGATCTCAATTTTTCAATTTAGTGGATTGGCATTAGTTATACTAACAGTCTGAAGTTAGTTCTTATTTAGTGCACATTTCACACTTGTTTTTCAAGTATTGACCAGCATTGACTTTAAACTTTAAACGGCAGCATGAGTAAATGCTATATTATGCTATCAATTATCTGATAATTATTATCAGTTGTCACATTACCAAGTTAATATAATTCGCAGTTGTATAACGCGAACGAATCATGGCATCAACGAAAAGAGTGCTTATGATTTGTTTAGGTAGATATTAAAAAAGAGGAGTAAACTTATAAAATAGAATATAAAAACAATAGGAAACGTGATATTAATTTTGCAGGAAATATTTGCCGTTCACCCATAGCGGAGGCAGTTTTCATTCAGCAAGTAAATCAGTTAGGCTTAAGTAACTCATGGGAAGTAGAAAGTGCAGCTCTTATAGGATATCATACTGGCAAAAATCCAGATCATAGAGCCATGTCTACATTAAGGGACAAGGGTATCACAAATTATTCTCATAAAGCAAGACCAGTGAGTGAATTCATTATTATATAAAGAATGTATCATGTATGCGTTTACATAATTAAATATTGTGCTGTAGATCACCGAGGAAGATTTTACCAAGTTTGATTGGATATTTGGAATGGACAATAATAACATTCAAGAATTGAACAATATGAAACCTAGTAATAGTACTGCTAAAATTGAACTTCTCGGAAAATACGATCCACAAGGAGAAACGATAATAAGAGATCCGTATTATGTGTGTAATTCTTTTAATAGAATATATCCTATTTTAACTTCAAAATTACTTTTGAATACGAGGGCACAAAATTTATTTTTTAGGATAGCAATAGTGCTGGATTCCACAAGGCATATGAACAATGTGTACGAA